AAGCAGGATTATACTTAAGCTATACTGCATGACCAAAGTGAAAAGCAGTTTTTCATCTCGACCAGTCACTCGATGTGATACATATAAACTTACCATAACACCCTAACTTTCATAAGACGGACACCTGATGTAAAAAGTTAATTCCAATAGATGTTAAATAAATTTTATGTAGTAGTGCACCTGAATTGTAAAACTGACATTAAGGGACATATACTCTTTTATTTGTATTGTAGCAAAAAAATTGTTTCAAGAGATGTCATTTTCTTTTAATATTATTTTCTTTATCCATTAAAATCATTTGAAGATAATGCATCTGTCATTAAATCTCATTATTACAACTTTTCTTATTTAGATGAGTTTATTTGATAATATCAAATATCCACAACATAAACACCAACACATGCATGCACATATACTTGAACAAAATAACCCATCCATGCATGAACCATTATTACCACAATTACCTGAACCACCTATCAAATTCATACAATTAACCATCTATTACATCTCCAACAACCAATCACATTCTAGAAATTAGACATCAATTCAAGAAATATAACAGACACACTAAACCTCCATCTTATCTACTTGATTAACATTGCAACATTCCCACGAATACAATTTACAAATTAGAAGAATACACTACTAAAAAAATGACATTTGAGAAAAGGACTTTACATCAGGTATTAAAATATATGATGTAAAAAATAAAATTAAAAAAATTTTACATCAGATATTTATTTGTAATGATATAAAAAATATTTTTAAAAAAAAATTCATTGGCTATTACATCGGTCAAAGTAATAAACCGATGTAAAAGGTTTTATAAAAAAAACACGGTGGCAGTATTGTAAATAAATAACTAGGTGGCAAATTGGAAAAAAAAAACCAGAAAACCCTTACATCGAGCCTTGCTATCCACTGATGTAAAAAACTAGGTGGCATATTGGTAAATAAAAAACTAGAAAACCCTTACATCGAGCCTTGCGTTCCACCGATGTAAAAAATCAGAAAGTCCTTACATCGGTCATTGACTTCCACCGATGTAAAAAACAACTATTACATCGGTCAATAACTTCCACCGATGTAAAAAGTAGAACCGAAATAACTATTACATCGGTTATTTTAATCCACCGATGTAAAAAGTGTAATATATATTTATGAAATAAGCCCTGCTGCTAATCATTTAGTTATTGACTCTTCAAAACAGAATCCCACGAACGAGATCTGTACTCCGCCAACATCGTCCGCCAACACCGTCTGTTCTCTCCGCCCACCGCTCCGTCTCCGTCTCCGTCCGTCTCCGTCCGTCTACGTCTGTCTCCGTCCGTCTTCGTCCGTCTACGTCCGTCTCCGTCCGTCTTCGTCCGTCTACGTCCGTCTCCGTCCGTCTACGAACACCCTTCGTCCGTCTCCGTCTCCGTCAGTCTCCGTCCGTCTCCTCCGCCGCGCTTTCTCGCCGTTCACGAAGACGGTTCCGGTAAGAAACCCCCTTCGCCTTTTTCGAAACCTCCTCCATCGTCGAACTACGATTTCGGTAAGAAATTTTCTATTTTGTTCAACTTCATTGTATATCTATGGAGTTCTAAGAGAGAGAGATATACAAAAAAAAATTAAGATATTCTTGTTGTTTTGCTTGCTACTGAGATACATTATAAAATAATTAGAAGTACATATAAAACCAATTAGAAGATTATACTAGATATTAACTCAGTGGCTTGGTGAATCTATTCCATTGTTTATATCTGTTTTTTAATTACTAAACAGTTTAATATTCTTAGAGAGTTTATTAAGTCTAATTAGTTATAAATAGTATATATTTTGTATAGAGTTAAGAATATAATACATGTTGTGTATATGTCATTCTTTTTCATTAGAGAAATTGTCTCTTTAGAAACCTCCGAATGAAACGTTAATGGTCCTCTCAGAAACACACAGTTTATCTTTAACCTATCAAACTTAATAGAGTTATCACCTTGCCATTGAAATTTGATTCTATTTTTCTTTCTCCGCGAAGCAGCACAACTTGCGATCTCGAAATCTCCGTGAAGTAGCGCAACCGCGGGCACACCCTTCGTCAGACCTTCCTCCGTGTGAACATAGTTATGGATCGTAGTTGGATGAGAGCTAATCGATTAAGTGACGAGTACGAACATGGAGTGATGGAATTTCTACAGTTTGCTGAAAGTAATGCTGGAAATAGAAAAAAAGCTACATGGCTTCACCCCAATGTAAGTGTGATGTAAATTGTAATTCTATAGTTAAATTTATGATAAATATTCACTAATTATGTCATTCAATTGTAGACAAGGCAACAAAATAACTCTAATGATTGTGGGTACTATGTGATGAAAAATATGTCGGATATTGTCTCTGCCAATATAACCGAGAATTTGATGTAGGTAATAAAAATAACTTTACGTTTTTATTTATTTTTTGTTTTGCAACTTAATATGAATTTTTAAAGAATAACTCTATATTGTTATATTTATGTATTATAGGTATTTGATGACCCAACAGAATTAACACAAGATGATTTGTATGATTTGTGACTCCGTTGGACAAAATGTTTCTTTAAGTTATATAAAAATTAAGCTTTATCCGATGAGTTTTATAAAATTGTCTAAGTTGTGGTTTTTGCACATAATTGTTATTATTAAGTTTTTTCACATTACATGTGGCTTTTGCACATGTATTGAGTTTTTTGATATTTTTTACTGATGTTAATTGTTATTATCTATTGTCAGGCAATTTGATTTTGGTGTTGTCTACCGAAGCTATAACTCATCTACTTGGATTTTATATTAGTAATTCAAGTTTGGAAAAAGACTTATAAATAATTGAATAATTTTGTATGTTTTGTGAAGAATATATATTTGTAAGTTTGTTGTGAGTTTGTTTGTTGTGATACAACTCAAGTTTGCAATACAATTGTTTATTTTGTAAGTTTGTTGTGAAAAATATGAAAATATCGACCTAGATGTGGTCTCTGATATTGGAAAGCTATGACATATATATAGCGACCTAAATTTAGTCTGTATGATATTGGAAAAATATGAAAAAATGGGTACCAATTTTAATTTTACAGGGAATGATCCATAAAATAAATAATTTATTAAAAAAAATTGCTTACATTTTACAATGGGCATTAATAGAAACCGATGTAAAAACTATCAACGCTGAATATTTTACATCGGGCATTAATCCCAACCGATGTAAAAAGGGTGTATTTTACATCGGTCCCAAGTTAGTCCGATGTAAAATGTTGTGTCAATTTTTTTTAAAATAATGTTATAATTGTTTTTTAAATCAGGCTTAGCTTATAACCAATGTCTTAACTGTCTTTTTCACATCAGACTCAGAACCGATGTAAAAAGTCTCTGATTTACTATATCACCTGACTTTACATCAGATCCAGAATCGATATAAAAAATCATTTTCGTCAAATATAAAAAGTCATTTCTTCACTAGTGATATGTTACTAATTAATCTTTTATATATAATTATCCTTTATCATCTATTTTTTTTAATATGATAATTTCTCTTCTACACACAAACACTTTACTCTAAATTTATCAATCATATTTATGACATCATCCTATGAAACTACTATATATGATGAGAATTGGAGAACTACTATCAATATTGAGTTACTGCCCTAATGAAAACTAATCCTTGGAATATTGTTTTATTACCTTAAAACGAGAAATCCGTTGGCTGGAAATGGATGTTCAAAATAAAATTGTATGCTAATGGAACTCTTGAGAGATGCAAGGCAATACTAGTTTCCAAGAGCTCACACAAGTTGAAGGCATTGACTATAGGGATACCTTTAGTTATGTGATAAAAATGACCGCAATTTCATTTATCATGGCCATTACAACATTTTAAAGTGATTTCAACACAACATTTCTACAAGGTGATCTCAATAAAGAAGTTTATACAATAAGTAAACTGAGTCAATTTCTTGATGCACCTACTAATGAACATATGCTGGCAGAGATGCATGTGTTGAAATACCTTAAGAATTGTCCATGAAAAGGATTGTATTTCAGCTCATCATATATTCATCTAAAAGGATTTTCTGGTTTTGATTACGGGGCATGTCCTGACACTATAAGATCCACAACATGCATTTTTTTTTTCTTTGAAAAGTTATTAATAAGTTGGAAAAGCAAGAAGAAATTAGTAGTTTTTAGATCCTCATGCAGGAAGAATACAAAGCTTAAGCTCAAGTGGTATTCTATTTGCTACAAGATATTCTATATGTAATATGTGGTTTCTATTGTTATTGTCTTTGCAAGAATTAATTGAGTTTTTAAACTAGTGAAGCAACATAATTACTCTTTTTCCCATCTAGATTCACTACGCCAAATAAGCTATTTAATAGCGCTTTTTTGTTTTTGTTTTTGATAGCGCTTAAAAGTGCTATTAACCGCGCCACTATTGTAAATATTTCTTATTTAATAGCACTTTAAAAGCGCTATTAAAGTACCAATTTATAATAACGTTTTAATTAAAGTGCTATCAAAGTCAGTATTTTGCATGTTTTTTGTTTGTTTTTTTATAGCACTCTAAACAAAAAGCGCTAATATATAACATATGTTTGATAGCGCTTTCAAATAAAGTGCTAATAAATGGTACATATTTGGTACAATATTTTTAATAAGTACAGTACAATATTTTTTCTTACACAATCATTTTTTTTGGTGTAAATATAAAATAACTATATTCAATTCAACACAAATAACGCTTTAAGTTACTCATTGCATATATATTATGATCCATCAAATACCAAATAACATTTTAAATTACCAAATCCTATTGTTTCCAAATATCATAACATATAGAATATTAAGAGGGCGTTTGCATAGCCAAATTTGTAGATGCTCATCTATGAGTACTTCAATCCAAATCCAAAATCATACAATCAAATTCTCTAAACAAAACACCAAAAAAATAAGAAAGGATAACAAAACAATCCCATGTAGTAACCACCTTCATGATCCAAAAGCGTTGAACTCATAGATACCATTTCCTAGATTATCCTCCCGTGATACATGTGGAGATATGAAAGAGAACTTATTTATTAATCCATTTGGACTAATAAACTTGTCATACAAATACCTAGAAATGAACAACAATTGATATTAATATATTTGTCACCAATGTGAATATTAGTCAACAATACAAATAACATTAATATTAATAATATATTTGTCAAATAAGAGAATATTTGTAATAATAGAGGTACCTGGAAAATACAGTGATAATAGATGCACTTAACCAATTGTGATCAAGAATCTCCTTTATACTCTCTACACGTAGTTGCTCTAAAAACTCCTCACCAAATATACTTTCCTCCATTTTTATTTGAATTAATGATCCAACCCTCATCATCTTTTTCACATACATATCAAGGAAAGGTAAATTTGCAATACCAGCTGAACCGCCAACTCTAGGAGACTCTTCGATTTTTTTTTTTGTTACTTTTGTTGGGTGATGAAACTGAATATTCAACACTGTGTTGAATATTGTTACCTTTGTTTTGGGATTGACCAGGAATCTAAAAAGTTGTATTAATTAATATTAGTGATCAAATAATAAAACAAGTAGCGATCAAGCAACTTGATTATAAGTAATTTACCTTTTCACATTCAGCAACAAATTCAAGAAGTTTCGTTGGCCATGGCACAATTGTTCCTATTGCTTGACCAACCATGGATACATCTCCATCTTCAACAGATATAGGCAATGGGGCATTTGGCACAATAGCAACTTCGATATTAACCTTGACATATCCAGGTGGTAACGTCATGCCATATACCGTGTTACCTTTGGTGTTATATAGTTTTCCACGAGCAACCAAACAACGACTCGGGGAGGATAAATATATATTAACAGGAAAGAGACCCTAAACCAATAAGATATGAATAAAAAGATTAACATCATTATTGAAAGAACAAACATATCGAATTTGAGAGATAATAAAGAAACCAATTACCTCTGGAATGTTGCCAAATGATCCAGGGTTGCAAGAACCTTTATCACTAGGAAGTCGACTCTCAGCTACTTTTTCTGGTTGTTTCCTTTCTACCACTTGTTCAAGGTGTTGCCTCTGTGCCACTTTTTCAGGTTGTTGCAACCTCTCTGACACTTGTTTAGGTTGTTGCCTTTCTTCCACTTCTTCAGTTTGTTGCCTCTCTAGCTTCTCTCTATCCAACTTATCTCTCTCAATCTTTTCTCTCTCTAGCACCTCCAATCTACTTTTGAGTGAATTACAAAAGCCATACAATTTTTCAAAATCCATTTGTGTGGGGCGATTTTGGCGTGGTAATATGTCCCTAGAACATACCCCAAAACCATAAGTCCTAACACGTCCAGAGTAGTTTGGGAGATTAAGAGCCTCAAATAATATGTTTGTGGGACCAAGGTCTTGTCTCTCTTCTTCAGATAGAGCTTCTGTTAACTTCTCCTGACATTGATAAGTATAAAAGAAATAACCAATAGTTAGATACAAGTTGCAATTAATGGCTATTCTATCAAAATAAGACACAAAGACTCAATTAATTAAGGAAAATCGAGTTTAATGACTTCAAACTAACTAACAAAATACAAATTCGGTAACAATGATGAGTATAGAAAAAGTGTCACATCTATAATGTGAGCATTTTGGAAATAACATCTATAGTGTCACATCTAAAATTCGACTTACACATTGATCCACAACTCTTTGAACATTCTCATTATCAATCACCCCGCTCTTATTGACGCGGGCAGCCTTCCACACTTGACTACGGTTTATCTCACCAACTTCTGACTCTTCTACCTGTATATACATTTTTACAAATTAACATAGCAATTAAATTTTTTTATAATATTGTATAGTACATTTATACACATACTTACCATATCAGCTTCAAGACGAGCACACCCTAAACGTGACTTTCTATAGGGATGTTGAGGATTTAACGCTCTTTCTCGATTCTCATCACTAACTTTCTGCATTTATTATAAAAAAGCATCCCACAACACTATCACTAATACTATAATCATGCAAAACTTTAAGGATCCATATCCAAGTGATAAAAGTATTACCTGAAACTTTGCAGTCATATGTTGGGCTACAAATTTATCCCAATCATCTTGTTTTATACAAAAAGAATATTTGGCCGGACGATGTTTAACAAAACCACCCTTACTATCTTTTAGATATGACCTCGCCATTTTTGTTCTGAATGCCCTGTGCAACTTTCCAGCTTCTCTATATACAAAGGCACGATGTTCCTCGCCAATTATAAAAGCTTTCTGCAAATAATTCAGTTTATTAAAACATAGTTCAGTTTATTTAAACATCCCAATGGATAGATTAACGAAATTAAAATTTTACAACTAGCTTAAGTTAGTGTGTTACTTCAATTTCATCCCAAATGTTTTGTTTATAAACCCCCACAGCCTCTTTATTTTTTTTCGCGCTCCATCAACACAAATATCATAACGCTCACAAACAACAACCACAACTTGTATATGTTCTTTACAGAGTAACTGCAGCCTGTAATTTTCTTGAAATCACATATTAGTGTAAATAGTTCTGTCAAACTCAGCGTCTGCATCAACAACCACAAACACTATTGTTGGACTTCTCCACTAAAACTCTGAATTATAGACAAAATACAATGAACAATACAGGTAGTCCCGAAAAACGATCGAAGTTCATAATCATACTAACAGAGCAAATTGGAAAAAAAGTTGAAAACTAACTTGTCTCAGAATAATCACCGGCAGCCACCGTGATCGAACACCGACAATAAATCCATCACCAACGACTCTAACTATTTGTAATTTCTTCATTACATTGACTCTAACTGTGGATGACTGAAAGCAGATTGAAACTCTTGCACTATTTAGATACAAAACCATTCAAATATTGAATCACATGCAGACTACTTATCCAAAATCCTTTATTGTGAGCATGCTTTGGTTCAAAATTGGGTGCAGAAGTCAAGTAGTTTATGATAATTAGCCATACATATAAGATGTAACTTTTTTTCCTATGATAAATATACTTATATGCAGTCTATCAATATAAGTAATGCACGTACATCAGAATTGGAAACAGTATATGTTAACTCGTCATACTTCCTCTAAATCCTGTAAGATACCCTTTATCAGAATTGATGAGGTGAGTTTGAAATTCTGCCCACTCACTCTTGCATCTCATTATGACCCCGTTTACATGATGAAAACCACAAACTCCTTGTTACTATATCGCACAAATTTCACATACAGTACATCAGAGAATTGTGACAGTAATATCGTTTTCGTGTCAAATAAACATACCGCATCATATTTGTCTTTTCCATGATCATATTCTCCCTGAAATTTGTAAATATAGATCTAAGAATTACTTTTAATAAAAAATTTGCAGGTTGAAAGCACAATCAGTTTAGTTTATTATATCAGAAAATGTGTAGCAGTAAATATCTATGTAAGTTAGTGATAATGACTAACTCGTTCACCAAGAGTAGGAATTGTTTGATGAACAATCCATTGTTCATCAACCACACCAATTTTTTCATGTGCTGGCTGCCAAAAAAATAAACAAAAAGTAAGGCATTGAAGGGACCAGAAACATATGAAATAGAACCATGAATTATGAAACGACGTTAAATCAATAACACTTAAATAACACCGACATAGAAAAATCGAAAAACATGCTTGCTATATGTTTAATAGTTACTGTTATTGATGTTCCACATCCTTCAATAAGTTTGTTAAGAGAACCCAAAGCTGCAAAATTTTTGCTCAGTTTAGAATATATTATGAATAAATCAAATCTTAGAAGCATAAACAAAGCTGCAACCTCATTGTAGCATTGTAAATCCATGAAATCTGAGGAACCACTAAGCTGCAAACCAGTAAATTTGCAATTTCATCAGTATAATTACAAATTTAACAGCCTTGGATATATTATATTTAGAACATTTAGACAAAAGCATGTAAAAGCATGTTGCAACTCAAATATTACAAACTAAACAGAGCTCTAACATCAACTAAACACCACCAGCATCAAACCTGAAAGCGCACCAGGCCAAGACAGGTATGAAGTATAATCATGAAAAGATACACTAAAAATAATAGAACAACGATGTACCGAATAAACTAAAACAGATCAACAATGCAATAACAAAGGGCAAAAGTTTGCTTCATGAGAATAGCCACTACAATAAGGTTGAAACATAATTTTTTCAGGTATTTCTTAAAATCATTTCTTTTGCAGTCACACCACACCAGGAATCAAGTTCTCCTATTTTGTCTTCTTCAAAATATATTTTGTTTCCCTGTTTCAAATATTGAAGAAATAAAAACTGTGAAACACCGACAACATTGTAAAAACAGTGAAACACCGACAACATTTAAATTCATAGTTAGACAATAGTACATGATCAAAACCTAAATTGAAGTAAAATATTTCAGATACCTATGTTATTATCCAGTCCATGTTGTTCTTTTCTTCTTGTCGTCACCATCGCCATGTTTAAGATTCTCATTACAGCTACTCAAAATCACGAATATCCGTCAACACAAAGACATCATAACGCTCACAAACAACACAGAGAATCAACGGATAGCAGAAACTGAAAAAAGAAATATTACCGGATACAAATGAAGAGGGGGATGACGACGACGTAGGTGAGATGACAAAGGGTTGAGTTCGACGGAGAATGAGATTTGGTTGTTCTTTCTTTTCGGTGTTTCCTCCTTCTGTTTGAGTGTCGTTTGAGAAGTGAATCTGAATCTGAATCGATGGTGAATCCGATGGCTGAAGAATGGATCCGGGTGAAAACCGAAGGAAGGGATGACGGTGGTAAATCAATGACTAACGGCGGTGAATCAATGAAAACCGAAGGAAGCAGAGGAAGATTTGACGGCGGTGAGTGGAAGCAGAGGAAGCAGAGGAAGATAGTGTTTTTGTTTTTGGCGGTGAGTGGATGCGGGAAACCCAATTTTCTGAAAATGTGTTTTGTTTTTTTTTTATCAATTAATTAATTCATTCATTATTATATATAACATAGCGCTTTTTAATAAATGCTATTATATAGGTAGTCAAATAATAGCGTTTTATACAAAATGCTATCTTAAAGAAGTTTAATAATAGCGTTCTGGTACAAAGTGCTATCATAATTACATAGTCTGTATTATATAATAGCGCCCGATTAAAAAGTGCTATTATAAATGTGTTTTTTCCATTTTAATAGCATTTTTTTAAAAGTGCTATTAAATTAGGTGATACAAAAAATCATTTTTGGCGTAGTGTTTATAAAGGAGTTGATTCATTCATTTATAATTACTCTTTTTCCACATTGGATTCTTTATATTTGGCTTTTGCTAGTTTTGGATAATCTGGTATTGTGATGATTGAAGACATGTTTGGTTTCTATGATTTTCTCTTTTCAGGTGATGCTACTTTTCCAGGTTGTTGATGTATAGTCTTATGGGCTTGTTTTTATCTAATTTTTATGATGGTTAAGCATAATGATTATGTCATAGATGAGAAACTTGATATGGATTACTGAATGGGTTGACGTATCTATTCAATATTTTTTGTGCTTGTAAGTACAGTTTTTTAAAGTGATGTGAATAGTCAGTCTGAGATTGGTGATATTCAAGGGAGATGAGAAAAGCAGATAATTTGGTCTGTTTCAACTCATATAGAGACTTTTGCAATCTGCAGACTTTGTTGGAACTAAAACCAAACAATCCAGGGGCAATGTCATGTATACTTCTTCAGACAAATCACTATGTAAAAAAATATTGTTAACATCTAATTGCTCTAAATGCCACCCTTTTATGGCAGCAAGTGAGAGAAGAACTCTAACTGTGGTGAGTTTGTTCACAAGAGAGAAGGTATCAAAATAGTCAATACCCTCCATTTGAGTGTAGCCTTTAGCTACCAATATGGCTTTGTATCGTTCTATAGACCCATCTGCTTTGTGCTTGACTTTATATACCCAACGACAACCAATTGGAACTTTTCCAAGGGGCAAATCCACCACAACCCATGTGTGATTCTCTACAAGAGCTTTAAGCTCCACATCCATAGCATTTATCTAACAGTCATGTTTAATGGTTTATTTGTAGGTGGTTGGTTCAGATATAGATGATATGCTACAACATTATTTTTTGTAGGAGGGAGAATACTTGTCATAAGATATGACAGAAGAGAGGGGATAAATAGATTGTGTTTGTGTGGAAGAAAGATGGGAAATGTTCTGATTATTGTTAGCATGATAGCAGTGGTAATCTGTAAGGTAGGTTAGAGGATTGGAAATGCAACTAGATTGTCTAGAGGGTATATTGGAAGGCCTTATATGGCTTTCCTAGTTTTCTGGAGAAGTATTGGAGGTATTGTTATTAATAGGGTTATGAGGGGATAGAGGACCTGAGGATTCAATGGACAAAGGTGAAGCAGGATTATCCATAGGGTTGGTACTAGCTATAGGTGGATCTGCCACAGAAGGTACAAGAGAAGACTGGTTATTGTGATGTCTAAATGGAATAGGCTCTGTGTTGGTATCTGAAAGGTCACTATCGGAGCTGGGAGTAGCAGATTGTTGTTGCAGGCTAGGGGAAGAACTGTTGGTCTAAAGATAATCTGATACAATAGTAGAAGAAGGGTACTGATGGGACAACTCAGGGTCAGCATAGGTATGAGCAGTAGGTATGGCAGACACTAGTTTAGAGTAATCTTGAGCAGTGTCAAAAGGAAAAATATGTTCATAAAAAATGACATGTCTGGACACAAAAACATTATGGCTTTGAAGATCATACAAAATGTAGCCTTTAGTTCCATCCTTGAAGCTTAAAAAGATAGTTTTCCTTGACCTTTGATCAAACTTGTTTTTGTTTATCTGGTTAGAGGTGACATAACTCAAGCATCCAAAAACTTTTAAGTGAATTAAGGAGAGAGGTTGATTGTATAATAGTTCATATGAGCATTTAAAGTTTAGCAGGGGAGTAGCGAGTCTATTTATGATGTGGGTGACATGCTGTATACAAAAATTCCACATTTTAAGAAGAAGCTTAGAATGGAAGTAAAGAGATCTAACCACATTTAAAACATGTTGATGCTTTCTCTCTATCACTCTAATTTGTTGGGGTGTGTAGGCACAATATTTTTGATGGATAATCCCTTTTGATAGAAAAACATCTGATAAGGAAAGAACTCAGTCCCATTATCTGATCTAAAACACTTAAGATTAGTGTGGAATTGATTTTCAATATAACTCATGAACTAAATAATACTCTGCTTGGCTTGATCTTTAGTTTTTAGAAAAATAACCCATGTGTATCTGTTGAAGTCATCCATAAGGGTCAGGAAATATTTGTGTCCTAGCATTGAGATAGTGGAAAAAGGACCCCATACATCAGCGTGTAAGATTTCAAAAGGTAGTTTAGATTTTGTATAGCTATTTGGAAAGGACAACTTCTTTTTTTTAATAAAATGACAAGAGTCACAAGGATGCTTGTTATTACAATTGAATGGAATAAAATGAAACATTTTTGACATGTATTGTAAACCTGCAGTAGAAATGTGTCTTAATTTGAGATGCCATAGTAAAGAATTGTCTTGGATGGAAGAAATACAAACATGATCAGGGTGGGATGAATCAAGCATATATAGACCTCTTTGAAGCTTAGTTGAACCAATCATTTCCTTGGAATGATTCTGCAGGATTTGGTATGAGTTATTAGTGAACTGAATAAAGCAGGAATTATTTTGTACCAGTTTTGCTATAGAAAGTAGATTGACATTAAAACTAGGGATGTATAGGACATTTTGGAGAACTAGAGTGGAACCAAGAGATATGCTGCCAAAAATATTTGTGGTGACTTGTGAACCATTTGGTAAATTAACATGAATAGGTATTATTGTTCTATGTGAAGTAAAAATGGAAATGTCAAAAGTTATATGGTCAGTAGCACCTGTATCAAGAATCCAAAGTTGATTGTTCTTACCAGTTTCAGGATGAGAGTGACAGTTGAGGACAAAGGGAGATGTAGAGATGGAACTGGCTTTAGGGTTAATCTTTGACTGTTGAATTAATTCCAGGATGCTTTGATATTGCTCTTGAGTGAAGCCAAGCATGGATTGAGATGAGCTTTGTTCTGGAGTTGTTTGACCTGTTTCAACATAAGCAACAAACTGTGCATTAGAGTTAGTGGATTTTCCTTTACCTTGAAATCCTGGTGGATAACCATGCTTGAGAAAACAGGTATCAACAGTGTGGTTGTTTCTTCCACAATATGTACATATTCTGTTTGTGCCTTTAGCTCCTCCATAGTTATTTCCCTTGCCTTTAAAATGATTGTTCCCAGGTGTGATACGGTGGGAGAACTGACTTGGGTGTTTTGCATTTTATCACAAATGTTACGGTTAGCAAGAGTCGCCACCGACTTTTCTTTTATCCAAAAGGAAAGGCTGAAAAGAACAGGAAAGACCTTTGAGATTATTTCTTGAGTTCGGGGGGTAAATTATGAAAAAGGAAGGTGTTAGCACACTTTTCATCCATAATTATCTATGGGCTCTTTGTTTCTTGCTAGATCACTTGATTTTGTTTGAAAATGTGCTTTGTGTGGTTTTTGAAAGTATTTTAAAAAGGCGCCTCCGTTTAGGCAAACTTTGAAATAGTTCTTGTTCGTAAGAACTTATACAAAGTGCTGAGCTTTTGAAAATATTTCATGTTTGGAAAAGGTTTTGAAAGTGTTTTGAAAGTGTTGGTGTTTGTTTTTGAAAATGAGCAAGGATGTTTGTTTTGAAAATGAGCAAGCAACAAGGAACAATCTACCTACTCAAAAGTCTTTGTTCATTTCATCCTTTCCTTT